CCGTTATCTTATAATTATCGGAAGGCAATATTAGTTTGTATTTTATCATTTGGTAAATGAAAATGGTGAACGGCAAAATTAATGTCTCATATATCACCATATAAGTGTCAGAAAAACATTAAATATTTGTATAATTACCCCACAGCAATCAAATTACCTGTTGTAGAAAGAATGAGAGAAAAAGTAAGATTACAAGATTAGCGGCTTTGGGTAATCATTAATAGTTATGGAGAACATTTTCGATGTACAATCCTTTGATGTACTTTCATCTAAGCGGGACTGATTCACGTAAACAGGGATCAAAATATTTCAGATAATAAAAGTTAAATCAGAGGTAATTTTATAGTTAGGTGGGGTTTTGAAAGAAAACGCGCCCGATTCCACTTCATTTTTTATGTTTTGGGTAAAACAGTTTACTTTTTTGGACGCAATTTTAAGTTGAACACGCTTTCGATTCCATAACACAAGTGTACTGACGACACTTTTGAAATACACATTAAAAAATGTAAGGTGTTTTAAGTGGATATAAACATAGGGTGTCCTGACATAATGACCAAAAATTATTAATAAGAGTTTATCTCATGAAAATAAAAATCACTAATGTTTGGTTTTTTATGAACAAAGCAGTGGTCAATCATTTTTCATTGTAGATGTTTTGAATTCTTTTGATCATTTCTACGAACAATGAAAAGCGGAACTTAAAAAAATTAGCGAATTTCCGATTCCCATTAGTTGGAAATGAATTATTCGGGGAAGTTGCAATCAAGTATTAATTTTTCTAACAAACTCATACAAGAGGGCAAGAAAAAAAAAAGTGTGAAGTACCTTTAATCTGATATTCAAATTTGTTTGGAAAATATCTCTAAAAACCAAAAAACCACATGTTTCTCAGCAGAGGCAATATGTATCTTTATTGAATTACTAGAAAATTTTGAATAATAAAACCAATACTCGCTTAACTTGTATATCTAGGAAATCGAAAGTATTTAAAAAATGAGATGAGAAAAAAAGGAAGATGTAAATGAATAAAACGACCCTAGAAACCAATTTTTTGCAAAATTTCACCAGCTTTAGAGTAAAGTGTGTTAAAGAATGGTGAAAAATTCAAATTAAGTTAGATGCACATTTTTAAAGAAGGAACCGCAGTGGGCAAATAATAAAAATCAAATGTTTATAAGAGAAAAAAGGTTGTAGAACAGGCATCATTTACGGACACTCTACAAAGAACAAAACGCCACGTATTCAAATAATACAATTAATTGAAAGTAATTCCCACATCTTTTAATCATTTAATTCAGATTGAGTACCTCATTTTAACCGCATATGTAACCGATGTTAATTGGTAAATTTCAAACAGGATATTTCTGATAAATTTGTTTGGTAAATTTGAGTGAAATTTATTTAGTAGGCAAAGCTGAAGCTTCAAACTTGCCTAAATCGATGCAACACATAATAACGGAAAACTCGCAAACGAGCTACCTGTTCGATTTTTCTATTACGGTAAATGCACACGGGCACGGTTTAGAATATGGGATATAATGGAATGTATCGAAAAGCCATTTGGGTTAAACACAGCACTAATTTAAGAGTATAAGCCTTAAAAACGAGCTCAATTGAAAATAAAAATCTGCCGGATTTAAACTAACAAGCGTAATTTAGTCTGTAGGTAATACTTTGCGAATTTTGGTGGGAAGAATTAAAGCCAATAATGCGCTTTGAAATCTGCCTGTAATTATTTAGCGATAAGTGTTGATGGAAAAGTATTTTGGGCTCTGACTTTGCCGCTGTGTAATCGGTGGGTACGTTTTTGGTTTTTATTACTTGATTATGGTACTCCTAAAAAGACAAATATAATTTCCAAAAAGAAAAATAAATGAAATGTTTTTTTGCAAATTGCGGTTTTGTTTGAATTTAAATAGCAGTTTTGAACGATGTGACGACGTGATATGAACGAAAATTAACGCTTTCTTTTATTATCGCATATTACTTACTTTTCCTAATATCGCTATTAAATTTTCTTTTGCATCTTATTCTCTTTATTTGCATTTGACTTACTACTGAAAATATCATCAGTAATAATCGACCTGAGTTTATAGACCAGATTCCGATAGAATCATTAGAACAGAATGGCGACGAAAAACCAAAAAAAAATACTGAAGTTCGCGGTTTGACTGTTTCACGCAAAAGAAATGGCAAAATGAAAAAAATACCGTTTTGGTTTCAAAAACCCAGATCTGAATAAAAAATATGATCAATAAAGAGCATCTTAAAATAATGTGTTGCTTGGATTTTAAAAATTTGAAATAATAATTTTTGTTCAGGTAACAATAAAATTTTTATTTTGTTTTATACATTATACATTTATACATTTATTATGTTCTACTGATTTTAGAACTTGGTATTGTAAACAGATGTGGCTGCTGAATTAAAAGTTTAAAGTAGTCAATATCAATTTCGACGATTCTTAAAGTTCATTTTGCAAATTAATGATAATGTTTCCTCATTTTGAGCGCATAATCTACTAAATGTAAACAGAACGAATAAATAGCAAACAAATAACTTTTTTCATACATAATATATTTGAATAGCTTGTTCGCAAATGAAAATTCTTTTTGGTTTTTATTAAAAGTATAAAAGTTAAGCAGCTAGGAATAGCGGCAATCACTTAAACCTTTAGATTTTGCATAATGTGCAAATATGCCAAAAATAGCATTTCATAATTAATGTTTGTTTCGCAAATGTTCTAATAAGGAAAGATAATAAACCAAAACATCTGTATTTTCCTAAAGGAGACTAATGTAAAATCTCAAAACGGTCTAGAAAATAACTATGATGATGATGTTAGCAGAAAAATTATTGAGATGCGTTCTTACATTCGATAGCAGACAAATTCATTCCCTATATAAAAACGTTTTTGTCGGTTTTGGGTATTTTCTCACTTTTATTAGGAAGAATCCCCGCAGTGGCAGAATCTTGCTGAACTCAATTTCTACAAAAAACTTCTGTTCGTGAGTTCGCGAACAGCCGTAGAAGAGGATACTTCCTAGCAAAAATAGAAAAATTGTTTAGAGGACATTTTAAAAATCACATAAAAAATAGTTTATCTTTGAATAAAAAAAAGAGAGAGTAGAATCATGCTGGCAAAGAAATGAAACCCTGAAATCGATTCAGGTTGGGTTAGAATTCTAAAGTCTTATACTCCAAAATCAGCGTAAACTTATTTCAAAAACAGTTAATAATAAACTCTTTCGGTATAAATCAGGATAAATTATATACATCCCGTTCAGTTAACAGACGCGTCATTGATTTCAACAGCCATTTTTGCAAAAGTAATTTTCTTTTTCTTAAGCATCCTCAGTTTTATTTCAAATAATGTTTTGAGTAAGAAAATAATTTATTGAGTACATTATAAAGAAACAATTTGCCGAACGGGAAAAAATGACTTGATCTGACGGACATTTATTATATCTAGGCGCATAAATAAAGCGTTTAGAACGTTTTTATATCGTTTTGTTATTTGTTCTGTGATACGTTTCGAAAAAGACACTTTGGTCCAAAAATACAAATCACAAAGAATAGTTTACTAGCAAAAAATTTGGAAACCTTCTTAATCTGTTTGAACAGTTAAAATCGACTTTATCTACTCATTGATGTAATGGAGAGTTAAATTGAATAAATAATTCAAAGAGCCTTAGAAAACCCCAACGTTTACAAATTTTGGGCACTTCATTGATAAACCCGAGCACATTTTGTCCACACGATTAGTGGAAGCTAGTAGGAATAAAGGCATAACGAATATGAAATAAAAAGCAAACATTACATAATAATTTTTTTATTGTGACTAGATGGCTGAAAATCTTAAACCACTGTTATACAGACGATATGCACAGAGTATATTTTATTTACTTTGAATACGTACCTACAACCAGTACATTTTTTTGTATACAGTTTACATTCTATGTCTGCATTTATACATCTATTAACAAATTATTTTCACAAAAATTCGATAATTTCTATTTGCTTAAGTAGTTTAATCTTACGAAAGAATGAACATAGGTTGACAGGAATGATACGCATATTGTCAATCAGTTAATCTTTTGTAACGTTAACATTGCACATGGCAGCCTCTTGTTTGTACTTTAGACCTACAGAAATGGTCTAAATAACTTGAATCTCTTTGATACATGGCCACTTTTTAATAAATACGTTAATTACAACTGTAGAATAGTTGTTTTTAATGTTATAAGAGAAATGCATTTTTATTTTTGCAATATCTTATTAAAAAAAAAGAAATAAAGACCAGCGCCAATTCAAAATTTGGAAATACAGAAAAAAACAACAGTAAACTAAGTATCATCTAACTGATTACCATGAGAATTGTAAATAAAAGTGATCTCTTAACAACTACAGTAACACTACAAAGGTGAATACTATCAATGATTTGAAAGCACTTAAGTAAATTCACAGGATAATTTTTTAATTGCACTAATTAAAACTAAAATAAAGTAAAATTAATAAAACATAAACTAAGTAAGTAATGGACAAATGCCACTACAAATATCTCTAGATATAAAATAATGTATAAAATTGATTGTATTTCTTTGGGTCGTATTATTTGGCACAATTGCGATTTAGTTGGCATTTTTTCTTGCGCTCAACGTTGGTAAAAACATAATTATAAAATAACTGCAATTAATGAGAAGACTTATTCACTCCAAAACGTGTTTTGCAAATCGTCAAGTTTGTGTTTGTTATACAGGGTGTCCCACCGGGAACCGCTGTGATCGATGTCTGGCAAACTATAGTTAGAATATAAAAATTGAACAGTGGGTCCAAGTCATTGGGGGAAAGTCATGGCCATACTTCCCATTATACCGGAAGTAGGTATCAACTTGCTTATTTTAAATGGAACACCCTATATATTATGATATTTTTTAATTCTACTCCAGGTTTTGAATATATTTCATGTAGAATATCCTATACCGCAGTCTAACCGTTTTTGATATATTTGAAATTTTATGTATAAAATGGCAGGTTTCATTTAAAATTGGCAAGTTGATTCCTACTTCGGCTATAATCGGAAACGTGGCCATCTTGAACATATTTTAGGGTGCTTGCCCCCAATGACTTTTGTATAACTTAACTTTTGTATAACCTAATGACGCCAATTTTATATGTAATTAAATACGAGTTCTTGTTGAAAAGTCGGCACGATCAGTGGCAGTACTTACTGGTGCGTCATACCTTATTAAATTGTGAACACTGATGATTTTCTTCAAAATGTTGTTATATAAAGGTATAAATATTCAAATAAATAAACGTTGACGATATATTGAACAGAATTTTCCGACAATCGAATCATTAAAAGGTTCAATCAAACGCGAAATTGGATCTTTCACAGCGTTAGATTTTTGGAAATGTTAAAATTGCATCAATATTTACATAATACTTACAAAATATGATTCACCGTATTACATTAAAACTCACATCTAACAATTAGAGCTATTTTACAAATTGTACAACAAATGATATGGCTTTTGACCGGAAGTATTGCTAGTTTTTCGAAAATTCATTGTTGGATAATTATGCAAGTAGATGGATTTTGATTGAGCTACTTTATCAGTAAATGGGTTTATACTTGTATTGGGATTTAAGATTTTTTTTTCAAAGCGTGAAGCTTTGCTAATTACATGAAAGCTCAATGATACCGGTTTTTCGAAACAGTAAGTACAGAGTGGTTCGTTTAGCTTCTTTGCCTTTGTTCTAAATCTATCAAAGCTGCAAATTAAAGAAATTAAGTATAGCAAAACAATATTTGCTAGATAGAATTTTCTTTACATTATGTTTGTTAAGGCTTGCTATATTTGAAAATATGTGTGGTTTAATTCAGTTTTCAAGAAATTGATTAAAAGCACTGAAATAATTTTTAGAAAATTGAAGCTATCAAATTCAAGTGCAATTCTTTTTAGAAACAGAATTGTAGCCATTAGCGGTGAAAACGTACATTTTAGAAGTTTGCAACGCAAATAATAAAAGTACTGTTGGTGTTCCTCAAGAACATCTTTCCAAACGTATAAAATGGTAAATTTGGGACATTATCATGATATGCTTTGAAGTTAGTCCCAAAACATCTAAATTAATTCCGCTTTCAGATACACACGTAATGAGGATTGAGCATTGAGGATGCTTAAAAATTAACAGGTGTGAAACTTTCAAGTCAAACAGCATATCCAAAGGATTTTACGCCTGGAGAAGGTTTCCATAGCTGTATGAGGAAGACAAATTTAGACACATCTGGGAAAATTATTTGGGTCAGCCAAAAAACAGTACCTATAACAGCTCATTATTTTTTAATCACACGAGCCAAAATATAATTATTTAGTATTTAGTAACGACGATTTCAGATGACACAGTTTGTAAATGCCTGAACTGTTCAGAGAACATTTTTATTGGCCAATCGAGGGTTCAGATTTAATTGCCCTTCGAAAAATCCTTAAAAAATTACAAAAACAAGAATATCTTAATGACGATTAGAAAGACACAAAACATGGCATATTTCCTCGAAAATCGGCAAGATTGAAGAAAATAAATTGGTTGATCCGGCTGAGCTTGTGGTTCAAAACTCGGGTGCGACTTCCGTTCCGATTTGTTTTGGCAAACCTGGAGGTTCTGATCAAGTCTTTCCGGTTTTATAGAAGTATTTTTACCGATGAAGCTAATTGGCTACTTGGAGGTTTAAGTAAAGCATTTTTGTGATGGATTCGTTTGAAATATAATTCAAAAACAAATTTTGAGGTGTTAAAAGGCCTATCGAAAATAGTCCCTCTGAATTTACATTTGTTTGACAAACATGAAGTTAAAACGCAAAAGCCAGAAGCTATTTTCATTAGGGCGACAACTGAAAGTAACACAAAACAAACCATTGCAACTTTTTTAGATTTCCTGGAAAAGCCCCTCTTAAACGAATCCCAGTGTATTAGGTTCAACTTTGACACTCAGACGCAGTGCAGGCATTGCCCACATCCATCCTGCATAATTACCAACAATAAAGTAACATAAATAGATGATCCTCTACAGGAACAACAGCCATGAAAACCCTATCAACTCTAAATCCGCCCGCAGAATTTCCAAATTGAACAGCATTTATTAATCATCCTGGTCCTCGTGTTTCATTTGATGGCCTCCAAGGGCCTCATCCTCATCTCAGCCAGGTCGTTCTCCCACACCGATTCCACTATTTGCATACTGGCAAGCTTGCAGCCCGGCTGAAGCTGACCGAACTGGACTAACACTCGGATAACTTACAAACCCTGTATGCTGTTTGGCTTTGAGCCGAAGTGAAGCTATGCTTGAAGACATCGCTGTGCAAGGCTCAGCAGCTGACCGATGATGGTACATTGAATACGGATTAGCAGGAGTAGTGTAGGGACACTGTTGAGCAGAAACGGCACCAGGAGTACTGGTTAAGCCACTCCCCATGCCTCCAGGCAGCATTGAACCAGCAGCTCCGCCCATTGAAGCTACTGAAGTTGCAGCATTGAAACAGTTCACGGGGCTTTGATGGTGATTGGATGGAACAACTGGCCAGAATGGTTTGGTTCCCAATGGACTGGGGACTTTAGCCGCCCAATTATTGTACGTGGAATACGAGTAGAAGCTATCGTCGCTGATTGCTGGCATTAAGCCGTTGAACTGAGTTCCAAAGCCGGCCTTAAAGTCAGCAGCGGCATTCATGGCGTTCATAGCGTTGCGTTCTCGCTTCCTCCATTTGGCTCTACGGTTCTTGAACCAAACCTGCAACAATCAAAAATAATTAAAGAAACCAGTTTTACATTGTCAGTTGGTTTACTGGCGATTAATAAATCCACCTGTTCTTGAGGGTGAAATAATAATAATATGATTCATGTAGCTGATAAGCTCAACAAGCACTCAATGATTAAATGAAAGAGTTGAAACAGCTACACACTCCAACAGTAGAACTGTTAAAAATATTTCCTTTTTTAATACAAAAAATAGCAAGGAGAATAATCCTTACAAAAAGCCGATATATTTCCAAAAAAACTAAATCAGAAACAGACACAATGTATTGGGTTTTCCCTTTAACATTTACATGAAACATGCTGATGATAATAAACTGTTTCAAAATGTTTTTTTTTCAACATCTGTGCTTGACTGGAAAGACGCCAATTTTGAATCATTCTGCATACGCTTTTTTAATAAAATAAAGGACGCCAATGATGTCTGATCAAGAACACAAACTGATCAACTTTTCAGTTAGATTCGACGTGTGTCTCTCATTGTAGAATAATGTGGAAACTGCTCGAAATGATTGAATAATTGTCATTTCAACAGCACAATCATCCGGGAAAATGTTCTCCCGGATGATTTTGTTCGCTATAAAATCTAGAATACGCACTGAATCCTAAGAGATCAAACGGGTTCCCACTAAATCCATGTGCATTTGCGTCGAATACTCGATTCCACATTGGAATAATCGTATCGCAGTGAAACGCCTAAATCTAAAGATAAATATTGAATAGATCTAACTAAATTCCTATTTATTGGAGGATTAGTCGTATGGGAAAACGGGCTATTTATTAGTGAAGTCGCGGTTTCTATTAAATTTGATTTTACAGTTCACATGTGATAACAAAACAACAATAAATTACAGTCAAAAGGCATTGTTGGCATATCAAAAAGTAACGCGACTTGACATGGGAACTCTATTGGAAAACTAACGCTGTTTGATAACGAATTTTTCGACCTAGTTTTCACGATTGGAATAATACATAATGCTTACAAAGTTAAACGTTTTTCAAGTTGTAGAATAATAAATGTTATTGGCAAACTTTCTGACTTTTAAAAATTAACACGAAGAAAATGGTACAAATTCCTATGGAAAAACATACAATCTATCATGCTAGATAATAAAATTGCAGCAAGAAATGGTCCGTGATATTTAAATAGTGTTGGCAACTGTTGGTGATTGTCAAAGAACTTGGCAATGGTAGAGATGACTCACGTGCGTTTGACAAAAGTCCGGAAGCAGATTTTTTAAATGTATTTTTAGTTTCGATATTCTATACTATAACGGCTTTTTAGCAGTTTCTATCACAAATTGTCAGTTCTATTTTAATTTGGCTTTCGCTTAGTTTTTATTAAACTATTTTTTCATTCAATACTTCAAACTTGTTTTCCGTTTGCTCTGGTATTGTCTATTGCAACATTTTAATGATTGTTAAAAGTAAACTTAAATAAATATAAACAGCTTCAGTTCGCAAATATTCTTAAATTTCCTGTCAAGTTAAAAAATAATAGTCATTTATATGTGGCTTCCTTTATAATGCGTGTAGAAAGGTTTTCTTCCAACAATATTTAAAATTGCTCTTCCGCTTGGATACTATCAATACTTAAATGAAAAATTAACATCAAAAATATAATTTAACGTTTTTTAGTTACAGTTACTTTAACTTATTAAAAATTTACAGTAATTTTTCGTTTCAATTTAATGAGAAATGATAATTTTAAAGCAGAAAAAGGACAGAAACTAAACTTTTGCAAATTGAGACGTTTTTTGCCGAAAATACATCTAATCCAGTTTAATTTAAATTGTAAAGCAATTTAATTTGTTTAAAAGGAGTACAAATAGTTTATTTTATTAAAATGTTTCATGTCTATTAAAAAATTCCGGTAAACGGTAAAGTAATTTTCAAAAAATCTACATTTTCTATATCTTTTGAACCCTTTGCATCCCAATATACCATAACAATTAAATCTATTTTATAAGAGGTCATATTAAAAAAGTTAGGAAATGCTCTGCCCTTGTCGTTCAATTCATTAGTAATTTCCACGTCTAATAAATCGCCTAATAAATTATAAATAAAATAGAACATGTAATTTTAAGCGAAAGTGAAACGTAGATTTACGAACCAGAAAAAAACCATAAAAAAGGATAAAATGATAATAACAGGAAGATACAAAAAAAAATTCGGAAATGGTCACACAAAAAAATGCTTTTTAAAGGAAGACTCTTAGAAAGGAAAAACTCACAAACCATTTATATTATAAACGTTATCTTTTGTAAGACCGTAGAAACAAAATAACTTGGACAAAGAAGCAATAAATGCAATAAAAGACAGCAAATAGCAAACTAGAATTATTTTCGAAGTAGTGGCGATGGAAAATAACATATTGAAAGGAAAATTAAAGTAAGAAAAAGTTAAGAACAGTAAGCACATTGTTTTATCTACAATAAAGAGCTTTTCTGGGAAGTCAAGATTTCACTGAAGTGCTGTTGTCCAGAAGTGTTCAAAATAGGAAATTTTCGTTAGACGTCTGAACTTTGGCAAATAAGCTAAAAAGTACAATAATGCGTAAACTAACACAATTTACATAAACGTAAAACTGGAAATTCCTTGACACATTTTTTTCAAATTCAATTGAACATAGACATGACTTCAGTGTTGGAAAATTGCAGCTTCTTAATGATTTTGTCAAACTACAAAAACGATAGTTTAAGGGTGAGGCAAAATGAAAATAGGGCTGATGAGGCGTGAAAATGTGTGGCTTAACTAATGTGATTACCACGGTATGAATTCTGAGGAGGGTTGCGTGCCATACGCCGATACGCTTGTTAAAAGGCAATTTGAAAGTTTTCCGGGGTCTGGCTTTGATTATGATTGAGATGTTACGAGCAAAGAAAACGTTTATTGATGTGTTCCCATGAAAATGCCAGCATTAAGTAGGGCAGTAAATACTATGATTGAGGCAATTTATTTCAGTTTTTATGCCCTGCGTTGTGTCGAAAGGTCTCGTTTGGTCCAGAAACCAAGTTTTTTCAACGACATTTTTTATATCTACGTATGTTAACACCAAAATTGATTCAACCAACTTCCTCACAGCTAATGTAGTTGGTTCAATTTCTTTCCACTAAGCAAAATATTTACGCAAAATTATTACCTTAGTCAGTGATCTATTGAACCTTCACTTAATTCGACATTTTTATTAATTTCGAAATTTTCTGCGAATTATGAACAAATTATTGATATTTTGTGCAGCTAATTAAATAGATGATTCAAACACACCAGCGGTATTTGCTTAGTTCATACTTGAGGCAAAAATTACTTCTTGTAATTGGTAAACTAATTTTTCCTGTTTTCATTTATAATATAGTATCTCAAAGTCCTTAAAATACTAATTTTCTTCATTACTAGCATCCATCGTTTTATTTGTGTGTGTGTGTGTGTGTGTCTGATATTTTATTAAAGCAATTTTCTTAGTTCTTCTACCCTATGCTCTGAATAAAAGAAATCCTTCATATATGCTTTGTTCCGGCTTCTGTGAACTCTGATTGAATGGTCAAGCGAATCGAGAACGAATGAGCTGTTTCTAATCGAATATAAATTAAGGCATTTGGGGAACTTGTTAAAGTTGATGGGATTTTCTGATATAGTAGTAAAACGCCTCGCATATACACAAGGAACCAGGGAAAAAAGCTCAAATAATTGGAGATTATATTAACGGCAAGACCAACTTGTGGCGTGTTGAACGAGTTTTGGAAAAAAGAGGATTGTATGCGTAAAGCTGCAATTTAGTGATCGGCCTCAAAATATTCAGTCAAAATCGAATATTCCAAATTCAAGAGGATTCGATTGCTTGCCGGATTAAGAAAATTAAATGTGTAACTTGAGAATGAGGACGAAATTGCGTATTTAAACAGTTTTAGCAGGCAGTCGAATTTTCAAAATTACAGGCGAAATGATAGTTAACGTGAAGCTTTCATCATCGAGTTGAGATTTCGAGTGTATTCCAGCTTGAAATGAAAATGAGAATTAACCGAGTGAAGTTGGAGTTTCACGCTTTATCGCAAAGTTTCTAGCTCACACTTGAAGTTCTAAATGAAGGCCGTAATTTTATGATCCATTAATAAATTTCGAGCATAAAATTGGAATATCGAGTTTAAACTCTGAGGATTTATTTTTCTTTTCGAAATTTCTTAGGAAAAAACAAACGGCAATAGACAGGTAAATTAGAGCAGCTATTATAGTTTCTAAGGGAACACTGCCATATGAAACTTTGGGTGTAAATTATTGCAAAGTGTATCGGTGGAAGTCTTGAATTGAAAACCGGAACTAGGCGAGTGAAATTAAAGTTTCATGTTTTATCTCAAAATTTGCAGCTCAAACTCGAAGTTTCCAAATGAAAGCCGCATAAATAAATTTTGCGTGTCAAGTTGGACATTTTTTTATTCATATTATAAAGTACATTCAAAATTTCTGAAGAAAAAACTTCTGACTGAGCTAAACACGTCCAGCTGAAAATGAGAGATTTTCCAAATTAGAGTCGCAATTCTAATTTCTAATGGGAAACTTTGAGCATCGAATGAGCATGTTCCCACTTTCGAAATGGAAACCAGATTTAGGCTAGTTCAGCGGTAGTTTCGCGTTTTTTCTCAAAAATTACAACTCATACTGTTAGTTTGAAAATGAAAACCGCAACTTGGACTATCGAGTTTGAATTTCAAATTTCCCAGTAAAATGCAGAAATAGGCGAATGAATTTTAAATGTGAATCTTTGAAAATCGAAGTGCATAAATCCAAATATTGAATCACAAAATATAATGAGGCGCAAGTGAAGATGAAGTTTTGTGTTTGAAGTCAAAGCGTCCAACTCAATTTTCACCTTATCTTTTGTGTAGCTATTCAGATGAATTACAACTAATGAAAATCACTTAAACACTATTGCCTTAAACTGTTGATCTCTCCATTTGTTATTTCCTCCGAATACGGTCGCAC